ACGCCTGGGGCAATCCTGCTGAGTATGACCAGGGTAGCTACAATAGGAACACCTCACCGAAGGCTGGCCACGAGTCTGCACTCCCGGGCGCTGATAAGGGTAACTCTGATGAAATGGCTGACGCTGAGAATGCTGCTGCCTCTGCGGGTTCTGCTGCTGCTGTCTCGGAGGGAGACGCTCGATACTTCGGGTCGGAGCTGTTGGTGTCCTACTCTGAATCAAGTGTGAATCTTCTGGTTCCTTCTGCACGCTCTCAATCTCACGTGCTGCATCCAATACGGCGTCGTGAGTCGTGAGAGCCCTACCAGCCAAAGCCAATCTGATATACTTGTCCAGACCTTTCTGGAACTGGTGCCTCCTGATAGTGGGGTCTGTGACCAAGTGTGGAGCATATCGGCTCAAGGAAGAAAATTCAGCCTCATACTCGTCGACTGATCGACCCCCTTGCTTGAGCTCGACAAATTTACGCAGGAGCTCATCTCGGGCCGATTGAGGGAAATACTTCCTATTGAAGCGATCCGTGAATGTCTCCCACAGAATCGGCCTCTCCAAGTGTGTCTTCTCAGCAACCCACCAGATTCGAGCTGTATCTGTGAGCTGGACATCCATAAGGTCCACCCACTCTGCAGGAGCAATGCGGGTCACCGTAAGGATAGTCTCGGTAACTTTCAGGAACTCTTCTGCTGCTAGAGATCCTTCGGCACCGGAGAAAGAAGGAGGTCGCATATACCGAAACTCCCTGACACCAGGTTCTGTACGAGGGGGAGGCTGGTGAGGCTCCCGCTGCAAGTTCCCAGCCAAATGCTGCTGATTGGTCGCCAGTCCCTGAATCATTGCCAAAAGTTAGCGTGGGTCCACTTCGGGCGGAGGGACATCACTACTGGATGGGTTACCATTGCTTCGTGTACCCACCATGGTTCTGAAGGGAAGGCAACGAGGATCAAAATTATTGCAGGAAAAATCAAGTCAAGATCAAAATCGAAATTGGGTAAGGTAGGGACGGAAACAAGATTGGTCAAGATACTAGGATAAGGGCTAAGTATAGTCTTACGGATGAAATATGATATGCGTCTAAGACTCGGGACCGTGATCGAGACCGTGACCTGCATGGGCCACCACTAAAACCTGTCACGCCCCGCTTCCCAAATACCTGGGAATCGGAACGTGAACAAGCCCGCGACGTATTAAACTGAGAAGAGATAAGTGCTAGACCCCGTCTTCTCAATCTAATACGCTAAGCGTCAAGAAATACAAACGAAGGCACAGGTCCCCGATCACAGTAGCGAGAATATAATAAACAACACAGACAGAAAATATACATATCACAACTGAAATAACATCCGAGACACAAAGTTTGGGTCAAACATGCCCTTATTACAAAACAGTAACATACCATTATTACAAAACAGTCTAACTAAAATAGGAAAATACATAGTCCGACAAAATAAGAAGGAAGTACTGCAAAATAACTAAGTCCATCGAAAGACTAAAGGGTAAGGTACTACATAAGTAATCTAGTGTCCATCAGTGATTACGTAAAAGAAAAGGTTAAGCTTCCGTCTGTTCTTCTGTTCCATCGAAAGACTAAAGGGTAAGGTACTACATAAGTAATCTAGTGTTCATCAGTGATTACGTAAAAGAAAAGGCTAAGCTTCCGTCTGTTCTTCTGTTCCACCTGGAAGACACTCCGGCTGGGCATACTCCTGCTCTAATGCATCATCATACTGGACCTGTCCGTCCTCTAAATCTGACGTACACCAGAGAAAACAGGTGTACGTCAGCGCACATAACGTACGGCAAGATCCCACAAGGAAAGTAGAAACGGTCGAACGACCAATGCAAGAACAATAATAATAATAATAGTAATAATCTAAATGAAATCCACCACCAGAATATAATAATCAGAAGAATCAAAAATCGATCGGGTAACGAGGTCCTGCAGCTAGCAATCAAACTAATCATCCAAGTAACGAGGTCATACTACTAGCCATTTGTAGGTGTAAATTTTGATCTCCCGAAAACAGGGAACTTCGTTTGTATTAAT